TTCATTTACCTTCCTAAATTCTGTTTTCAAACAGTAGGAGTGCATGGTAGGGGGATATAAAAGCTTCTATGAATGCTGTTCTTTTTCTTCAAATCAAAACAGCTGCACACACATATGTCTTTTATTAAATATTACCCTTTTAATGAATCATGAATACACTCCAACTGACAGGAAGATTATCAGTAAGCTTCAAACCTGGATGCTTCAGAATACAAACCAGGGGCTTTAGTATTTTTAAAAGAAGAATTTTTTTTATCTGTAAGATGGATTCTGTGGAGCATCCACACACAGTGCATACAATACCAAGGATAGTAACAATGGATTTACATATAGTAATTTCATTAGTTTACTACTTGGTATCACAGCTTTAAAGTGAAGTGAATTTGCCATGACCTGAAGTAGCACTAACTGTAGTAAGAAAAGGTTACTGTTCCTACCAGGAAGGTTTCTTCATTTTCTACTCCAAGAGCTTAATTCCCTTGTTTCACAAATATGTGACAGATGGTACTAACTGGCCTTGCACAGTGAAAAGAGAACTGTGAAAATATGCTGTTGGGAAATACACCAAATGTATCTTGTGCTGTTGATTGCCTAAAGACTGTCTTCTAGAATTTGCTCCAATCACCAGAAAAATGTAATGATGGAGTTCAAAAAATATATGTTTGACAATTGTCCAATTTCTGCTGACTTTGGAATCTTGACTAAGTCAGTGATAAAGTGAACCAAGTACCCATAGCTTTGTAGATATACTGTCCAGTGCAGGTTATTAAGCTATTAGAGTAACAATTGCATACAGTATCTACCTGAAGTACATTATTCATTCTCAGTAAAGTCTGCATAACTGTTAAACTGACAAAGTATGCAACATAAACCATTGACCTCTTATGGTTAGAATGCTATAAAAGCAGTTTTCAGGATAAATTAAACTACCTTATATACATAATATTATTTTATATATATATATATAAAATATTTTATATATGTGTTTTTTTTTTTTTCTGAGAATCTCTTCAAATCACAAGAAATTGAAATTGTCACTCCATATCAATTTGAAGGAATTCACACCTCAAACACAGAGCTTAGAATATCTGTTTTGCCCACAATGCCCTGAAGTAGCTTAAGCCAGGCTGCAAGCCAGTACTTCAGAGACAAAGTTCACTTAATAAAATCCTCATTGATTTTTAGAACATAATGTTTTTAGAACCTATTGTTTTTAGCACATTATAGGCAAAGACCGCTTGTTTGTTTTCCAAATAAGCAATCAAAAGATCATGCATGACTGTAACTCATTGCTCTAAAAGCACTACCTCCTCCCTACTCAATGTCTCTGCAGGATGTCTCAAAGGTCTAAGAAGTATTGACAATGATGTTCCATATTTGAACTTGGAAACAAAAATCACAAATTTGAGGAAATTAATTTCACTGTCTCACATTTAAGGAATTTTAAAACAAGATGCAAAACTCATACTCTTTTTTTTTTTTTTTTCTCCAAATTGTGAATATTTACTACTTATTAATATTCCCAAAGCAGTTTCGGCTGAACCCCCAAGGGCAGATCACTCAGAGGGGTCTTGGGACACTCGTTGTAGATCATTAATCAATTCAGGCCTCTCTATGCATCAGAGTGCTGTGTAAGATGTGGGCCACAGGGCTAGTAAGGCTAAACCTCATGGCCAGGGCACATCCCAGTGCCCCAGCCAGGAACAGGGCAGCTGGGCATCCCCAGGTCTTCAACTGTAAGAGATAAGGACTGACTGAATTGAGCAGAGTATGGGAGGTCCCAGAGGAGGCCTTTTGGGGACAGTAATGGATGGCAGTTCCCTCATGGCTCTGATATAAAAATTTTTCTGCTGCTGCTGTGACATGGACATTTCTGAATGGCTTTGTTGGATTTAGGTACTTTGGGTTTTATTTTCAGGAACATAAAGGATGCTTCAGACCTCTTTTGTTTATTCTTTGGAGAGAAGCTACATCCTCTATAGGGGTTTACTCCTTTTAAATTGCAATGAGTAACTATAAAGAATGCCTTGTGAGCTGTGTTATTTGAGCTCAGAACAAATGCAGTTCTAAGTGTGGCTAAGAAAGCTTTTATCTCTCACCACCTGCATAAGTAGTTCTATGAAAAATATGAATTGATTTTTACACTGAATGGCATTCAAAATCCAGCAGGCTAATAAAAATATAGATAGCAATCATAGGTGTGATGAAACAGAACACACTTCATTCCACTGGGACATTACCCGCACACATTCATCACTGAGGGACAGACTCCAGGTCAGCTTCGGAGTAGCAGAAACCTTAAAGAGCCAAAATATCTTAAATAGTCTGGAAGTAATTTAGCAGAACACCCCGCTGTATCTTTTCATTCTTATTATTTGAAATCAAAAAAATAAACAACTTTGTTAGATGTCCATTTTTAAGAATGTAGAAACTACACTGCTTGTTCTAATTACACATTTTTTTCTCTGCTTTTTGTTCTTTCAAAGGAATATAATTACCATAGAACTTTTGTATTGCCAACTGTTATTCAATCAATATTATGACAAAACAATCACTGTTTCAGCATACAAGATTATTTTAAAAGAGTACCATCCCTTTAAGTATGTGGAAAACTGATAAGCAAACATCTTTGAGAATCACAGTTTCTCCAGTTTAAACAACTTTAAGGCATAATTTCAGAAATATTTATCACTATTCAATGAACAGAACTTTTGATTCTAATAGGTCTTCCAAGGAAATAATTAGCTTTAGGATGTATTTAAGTAAATGAACAGATGAAAAAAAATATCTCATTTACAGTTCCTTAGTCATTTCAGTGAATTGTCTACTTTTGAACAATGAGGCTTCCTGACTGATATATTTTCACTTAAGAATTTGACAGAGAGAAGCTGGAAAATTTGCCGTGAAGAAAAAGCACTGACTTGTGGCTGTTCCACACTAATGGCTTCCTTAGGGACTAATAAAATAAGTTAGAGCCTAATAAAAAGACTGACCTTTTATTTAGGATAACAATGAACCTTAGCTGCCAAGTTAAGTCAGACCCATTATTCTAAATGACAAGACAAAAAGCTTCAAAGCAGAAGTCACATACTTCCCATGAATCTAATATATTATCATACAAGAACACTTAAATTTCTCAGTCCTAAGGAGAATACATTTGTATGCGGTGAAGCAAGACATATTTACTTGGTAAAATTCTCCCTTCTGACTGCTAATTTCAGAAATAATACTGCTCGTATTTTCAGAGAAGCTCTGGGGTGGATGTTGATGATACAGCACCACACAAGATTTCGGATTCATGAAACACATGAAATGTTGTGAAAATCATAGCACCAAGTCAGACTGCACAATTTTCTTGTTCAATTTCTTATCTCAAAAAATAGATGTAAAAGCCTAAGAACACAGAAGTCAATAGGACAAGTCCCAGTGCTTCTCCAGCCTTTGGGATTTCCTAGGCTGGGTAAGTCTGTTAACTTAATTGAAAAAAACATCACTTGTAGGGCCTTCTGAACTGACACCTACTAGTTTCCTCTGATACCACCTCTTTCTCCATAGCAGAAGAGAGAAACAGTTTATCCTTACATACACTGTGAATCATAGCATCATTGAAGTTGGAAAAAGACCTCTAAGGTGGTCTAGTACAACTCAATCCATGTCCACTAAACCACATTCCTAAGTGCCACACCTACCCCTTTCTTGAAAGTCTCCAGGGACTGTGACTTCACCACTTGCTGGGAAGTTTGTTCCAATACCTCATTGCTCCTTCCAAGAAATTTTTCTTCTTCTCCAACCTGAACATTCCCTGGTGCAACTTGAGGCCATTACCTCTCATCCTGTCTCTGTTACCTGGGAAAAGAAGCTGATCTCCACCTTTTTACAACTGCCTTTCAGGGAATTTGTTGAGAGCAATAAGTTCTTTCCCAAGCCTCTTCTTCTCCAGACTGAACAATGCCAATTCTTTCAGCTGCTACTCATAAGACCTGTGCTCCAGATCCTTCACAGCTTCGCTGCCCCTCTTTGGACACGCTAGAGAGGTTCAATGTCCATCTTGCAGTGAGGGGCCCAAAACTAAACACAGTACTCTTGTACTGCTATTTCTAATTCAAGCCAGGATATCATTAGTCTACTTGGCCACCTAGGCACATGGCTGGCTCATGTTCAGCTGATTGCAGACTGATATCTCCAGATCCTTTTCCACCATGCAGCCACTCTGTCCTAAATCTGTAGCAATGTATGGTGCTATCACTCAATGCAGTGGATGATCAAATCACTTCTTCAAAAAACATTTAAGAAAGAAAAGGCTTAAAGAATTGTGGATAAGATTCTTCAGCTTCAGTTAGGAGTATAAGCCAGACAGGATTTTGGAATTCAAATAACCAAGATAAAAATATTTTAAAGAGGCAACAAGATTATAAAGTTTATTTATAATTTACTTCATTATTAAATATAGTTAATTTACTAAACTGAAGGAGACTCCTGACAAAAGTAGTATTGCAAACTTCATAGAGACTTTCCGGGAACAAGTTTTTCAGGAGTAGCAAAGCATGACCCCTTCAAAACACATGAATTCTAAGAAAACCAGGGGAAACATTTAACACTTCAAGAACTGAAGTTCTGTAGAGCACTCCAGTTACTTCCTTACTGCATTTATTCACAGAAGTAATCTGCTACATGATACACACTCCTTCTGCATCTATTTGAACTGCAAAGAGGAAAATTTTACACATTTCAGTGAAGACATTTTCACAAATGAAAACAAACGTACTGAAAAGGTCTATTAGTATATGAAGTAATTTTGGTCCTAAATGATATTAAAAAGCATTATAAATTGTTTGTAATCAACAAAAATATCAGCTGTATCAAAATTTTATCCACTAAGCTTATCCACATTTTCTATGATTTTTATACTGTAACACATTTTCTTGACTCAAATTCATATCCCTCCGTGGAATTTTTCAGCAGTTTTAAAAGGAAACAATTAAAAGAAGGTACTAACTTACATAGTAAAGACATCAATAACATCTCCTGCAGCTCTTGTCATCTCGAAGTAGGTTTGCAGAATGTTGACAGTTCCTGAAAGTGCTTCATGTCCACAACCACAGAACAGTGCAACACCAGCATACAGCAGGATGGTAGCAATCAAAGATGCATAGGGAATACCTCCCAGGCATTTGATGCAACACTCAAAGCACCCTACAAAAAAAGGAAATTTTTTTGTTAATATATTATATCAAGGAGAAGAAAAAAGGTTTGTTTTTTTTTTTTTTTTTTATCTTGAGAAATGCATAACTTGAAGGTGGCAGGCCAAAGACAGATTAGATGAGATATAAAAATCCATCAGTTCAGAAAATCTGTGAGAGGGCACAGGTTAATTCAACTTTTGAGCTTCCTTAGTTGTTATTTGGCCTATTAAATGTAGACATGGAACGTTCAACATTGTGTTATTCCTTGTGCAGTTTCATATTTTGATTAAGAGCAGATTACAGAGTCAATTCCAGGTTACACCAATATTCACAACTCCTGTTTCTCATTGGATTTCTGAGAAGAATCCTCAGTAACGGGAAAGCCACAGGGAGCATCCAATTCAGTTCCCTCCATCACCATACATTTTTTTCATCTGCAGGGAGTGACAACAGAATTTTTCCACCCCATAGCACCATTTTGAGGATGCAAGCAACTTTTCACATGTCACTAAAATAGCTAATAATAATAGAGGAAGATACCACACTAAAAAGGCAGAGATTAAGACACCACTAATAAAAAGGTACAGAATAATTGTAGAAGCTGAATTATCTCCCAACTTATTTTACCCCATGCAATGTTTCTAGAGTGAGAGCAATTGCCCTTTGATTATACCAGGCCAATCTTTCCTCCATTCATCAAGTTCTAAGCTCAGCTTGGACCAAAGGTTCTCAAGTTTTTGGCAGTTCCTTGCCCTGCTTGACAAGTAGTTTCACAAATGCAGCAATCTCTCATTCTGTCCAATCTCAGCAATCCCATAACAACTTTAACATTCTGTAAAGCCCTGCCTGTTAATTTTTGGAAGAACAGAAAAGGCAGGAACCTATAGTAGGGAGAGGGCAGACAGAACTGTAGGTATTAAGGAATCTGATCTGTAATGGGAGAAAATCCTGAAGAAAGGGCACTGACTCAATAGCTAGAAACTTTATTTTCTCCTAATAATTGCTAGCTTGTGCCACAAAAGATTTAGACGAAAAACAGGGTGAGGCTTATAGATTTTTACATGGATGTGTCAGCGATTGCCAATTAAAAATTATATATATGATGTTCAGCAGGTGTCAGTGTATTTTAAGATGCTCCCAAAACCTCAGGCTATGCTAAATCACAGGAATGCCAGAGCTACAGTGAAACAGCAACAACAAAAGTGCAAAAAGACATTTTTTTAATAAAATATGTCTACCTCACTCAAAGTACATGTAGCCTCTACACGTAATTTGTATTTTGTTGGGAAGACTCCTGTTTCTTTCTGTCCAGATAATCAGAATAGTCATTTCTTCTGTCTGTTCAAACATTCATTTTCTGCTCTTAATAAACACATGCCAATCTGTTTATCATATATATATTTAGCAGCTGTTTATACACATCAAAATCTCTGATCAGTTGTCCTGGTTTCAGCAGAGACGGTGTTGATTTTCCTTCATAGTGTCTGGTACAATGCTTTGATTTGGCTTTAAGAGAAAAATGTTAATAACACAACGATGTTTTAGTTGCTGTTGAGCGGTGTTGCACAGAGCCGAGAACATTTCTGTTTTCTGAGCTTCTCTTATTGCCTTGCCAGTGAGGGAGCTGGGGAGGCTCACTGAGATTGGAGGGAACAGAACTGGGACAGTTGATCCAAATGGGTCAAAAGGATATTCCATTCCATATGAAATTATGCAAAAACAAACAAACAAACAAACAAACCCCACCAAACCAAACGTCAAGGGGAGCTGGCCAAGGGGACAGCCACTGCTCAAGAAGTGGCTGGGGATCATTTGTTAAGTGGAGAGCAACTGCTTTGTGCATCACTAGTTCTGTGTATATGCATACATGACTATGTATGTGTGTGTATATATATTTTTTCATTGCATTTATCTCTCTTCATTTTTTTGTCCTAGCAAATTGTGTTTAGCTGCTTGCCAGGTTAAACAACAATTTAGGCCAGTTTCAAACATACACGTATTTTAGTTAAATAGAAACCTCTATTGATATTTTGTAAATACAGATTACCTGAAAAGCAGTGTTTGAACTTGAATTTCTATAAGAAAAATAAAATAAAAATATACTGAACATACACAAGACATAATCAGACTTCATAAATTAATGTAATTCCCAAATACATATGATGATTTCATTACAACAGAAGCAAAGACTGTTTGAGACTTGTACTTTACAAATTATATCAGCAAATCATCCATCTGCAGTTGCCATAACACATTTGCATGATTGTAACACTGCCCTCCCTTGCAATATTTTGGCTGAAGGATATATCCTTCTCTCTACTCATGACACCCTACTGTGCTGATAGGAGGTAGATTTCCTTTTCAGCAGCTACACAGGGCTTTCAACATCAAGAAATCACTTTTTGTCTGTTCAGTGATTGTAAAAGTCCAGAGTTTTATATCTAGGAAATCTGAGGGTTTTTCATTAGTGGCAGGTTTTAAGAGACTAGGAAAACAAATGCTTGTGGAGTAACTAGTTCTGCAAGCAGACAAATTACTCAATCTTTTAAAATTCTCTCATTTCCATTTTCTAAGACTACCCCTAGCCATACCTATAGCTACTTCCTTAGAGCTTAAAATCCAACACAAATACTGTTTGTGGATCCTGCACTGGCTAATCTGCTCTCTAATAGGCATAGAAAATAAGAAATACGTATTCAAAATATATATATTTTTTGCAAGGAAGACAGGGAAATAGATATATGTTTGATTACAGAGATTAATGAAAAATGCCCATTGCAATTATCAGCGCAGCATAAGGGCAGAAAAAGCCTTTGGAAATTAGTACTCTATATATCTCAGCATTGTAAGAAATAGTAATGAGGGAGAGATGACAGTAGAGTGACACTGGGAGTGAAGTACTAGGGCCTGGAATGTTAAAAATGAAAAAGCAAGCTGTACCTAAGCTGTACCTAAGTAAGTGTATTGCTGCATTTCCATGCCCTCCTCCCCCCTTCCCCTTCCAAAACTGGGCTGCTCTAAGTCTTACTTCTGTCTGCCTTGGAAGTTAATTCTGTGATTCTGGGATTTACAGGGACACATGGACTTTAGAGAGCATTCCTTAATATTGCAGTGGTGTGAGGCAGGGAGGAAGAAAATTATTTCCAAAAGCTTTCTTTTTCATCTTCAGAAACAGGCAAAATGGGAGTGAGAAAGCTAAAGGAATGACAAGACAGGCACAAAACCAGCTAATATTCTGAATTAGAAGAAACACGATTGAGATACGACTACTATATTAGTTCTATGAGTATTGTTATCAGGAAACAGTCACCTTTGCACTGCCTCCTGAAGCTGCTGAATCTGACCAACCAGTCTACTGACAGCTGTCACAATCTGACCCCATACACTGCATCAGAAATCTCATGTAAGTAATATTACTTTGGCTCTATTACAGTAAAACATATACTACCATGAAATAGTATAGCAAAGTGATATATATGGCATAGCAGAGTGATATATTCTAGTGACTAGTAGAGAATGAGCAAAAATGGATGTAATAAAGTGCTATCTAAATTTTATCAGAAATTAAATCTTTTTTTTTTAATTGTTCAAATTCTAAAAGGTAACTGAAAAATTTATAATTTGAGAATTAGAAAAATTGCTTCTGTTCCTATCTCACATTACAATTTCTCACATTTGTAAGCCCTTGACAGAAACTTCTACAGCAGTCTATTTTACCAGTTCAAGAATTTGTTGCTGACTGAGGAATCGTCAGAAAATTCCTTTAAACATGTAGCTTTTCAAATAATTGTTATCCTTTAAGACCTTTCTGATTTATTCAGCTCTTCCTCATGCCTATTACCTTTCTAACTACTTACTTCATGAGTAATGCTAGAGTTTTCAGTGTTGTCAAACCAAATAAAAACTAAAGAAAAGCAGTGTGTCAGGAATAAGGCGTTAAAATGGATATTGCTCATCAATCATACACCACAAAAGGTAATGTGCTGCAAGTTACATTTCCTCTGATTCTTTTTTTCAGCTATTCAGAGTGCGAAAATAGATGTTTAATAACACAACAATAGAAATGCTATTTTAACTAGCACAATACTATTGAACCAGTACAGAGTATGACTCAGCTGTACCATGTGTGTATAGTATGTGTCTGTGTGAGAGAGACAGTCATTCAGGGCTCTGAACATCATCTTCACAAGATAGAACACACAGCCACAGAAATAATTACTAGGAGAGATTAAAAAGAGTGCACACTGCTTTGATGTTTGTTCTCTGGAAATAAAGACATAAGTGCTTTCAAACAGTTCGCTCTGCAAAATGAACCTATTTAATCTCAAATATCAGCATTTAGTCTTATTATGATGTTTTCCAGTATTCTCTCTCAGGCAAAAGTCCAGATCTGGTGGAACTATATATTTCTACATAAGCCATAGGAAGTAATGCAAATTAGCATTCTTCTTTGGAACTTCCAATATGAAGAACTGCATCGATCACATTTTTTGATAAGTCATTGCACAGAGAAATCATAATAACAAAGATGGCAAGACAAGGAATTTTACGTTATGTGGATAAAGTCAAAATCCAAATACCAACTATATTTAGTTATCCAAATAGTGCTTATTAAGGTTGCTTTTCATATATTTACTTTCCAGTCAGCAAAGGTCTCGCACACAACCACCTCATCTCCTCTTAGTACAATCCTTACTGTCCATTATCAGTAATTATTCTCAATAAGAGAAAAAACTTCTGCTTTAAAAGGCTTATAAAACTTTCTTTGTACTGTCTTTGTCCAGACAAACCATTCACAATTCTTCCACTTTATAAAATTTTATGTCTGGCCAGTACATTAAATAAACAGATAGACAGACAGGTAGATGGATAAAAGAGAAATTTAGGACATACCTTCTACCTCATGCATTTGTGAAAGTGAAATTTAGATCACTGGTATAACCAGATTCAGAATGTAATTATGTTACTATCTTCTATATAAACTGTTATAGAAAACCCAATCAACCCAGAATTTTATGGAAAAAATAAACACAGAAGAAAAAAAACAAACAGTACAGAAGGATCTTTTAGGTTTGCTTTTAGATTTGTTTCATTTCTCCTTCACAAGACATTTTCAGCTAGAACTTCTATGAGAGATTACGAATAGAATGTTCAGCAACAAGGAAAAATCATAAAACTCATTTCAAAGGAAAAATGGGGGAAAAATACAATACAGTAGTCTAAAATTAGGGTGTTTGAGATGCACAAATTGAATGCATAAGTGAGGAATCCTCCGGCGACAAAAACAACATCATTTTATTAACATTTATAAGAGTTGATGTTTTCTTAAGGGACAAAATGATGAAAAAATAGGAATTGAAGAGGCAGAAGTGAAATAGTTGGCCGTTCATCTGACTTGAATTCCAGAAGGTATATGAGAACTTGTCTACAGTAATCACAACAAAAGGAATCAATTATCAACTTAGTTTTTATTTCAGCTCAGTTCTGGTGTTGTTTTATCCTTAGTAGGCTCAAGGAAACAAAACTGAAATAGTGAGCTCTTATTTTCTCTACCTTATACCAACATAAGAATGTTCTGCATTTTTACTTGAAAAGTAAAGGCTCGCAGTTACATTGCTACATACATGCATACATAATAAAATCTAAATAATATAATACACATTTTAGTATTTTAGATGAACTCACCTTAAATTGTCAGGTGTCACAGTTTTGACAAAGGCTTTAATTAAGTCAAATTTTGAGATATTTTAGTTACAGATTTGAGAATTAAGACCAACTTAGGCCAGTAGTCCAATGCAAACTCATATGTTCCATAAAATGGAAGATTTTTTTCTTTAGTTTGCAAAGTCTTCTCGTGGAAGCACCAACTTCTTTAAATAGAAAATAATGCACTGGAAATTTTTTTTTTTTTCCAGTGGGAAAACAGTAGCAGTCACTATTATGACCTTCAAATAACTGCCTTACAAACCCATTTAAGAACACCTTTTTTTTATTCTGAGTGCATACACAAGCTATGAATTTCTTTCTGTTCATCATTATTTTCATTGGACTGTGTGGAGCACTGCAGACTATAGAGTGTTTTAATAATACTATTAACATAAAACAAATGAAAAAAACAACAAACAAAAGAACTCTCCCTGTCTTACTTACAGTGATAGACTCTGAGTCATGAATAATGGTAATTTAAGTTTAACCAGGACAATAGAATTTGTAATTTTTGTACACTGCTTAAATCATAAAATCTTAGAGTTGCTTCAGTTGGAAGGGACCAAAGGGAGTATCTTAGTTCCAACACCCTGCAGTGGGCAGGATTAAGAAGCATTAGATCAGGCTGCTCAGAATCCCATTCAACCTGGCCTTGAGCACCTCCAGGATGGAGATCCACAAGTTCTCTGGGCAATTTGTCCCCATGCCTCACCACCTTCTGAGTAAAGAACTTCCTCCTAATATTGAATATAAATGTATCCTTTTCTAGTTTAAATCCATTCCCCCTTGTCTTATTACTATTAGACTATGTGAAAAGTCAGTCCTCTAGCTCTGTACAGCTCTGCTTCCTTCCTGTACTGGGGGCCCCAAAAACATGGTTAGATGCTATGCCTTCACCGCGTGCACATTGTATGGTCCATGAGGGCCTCTTTCATCCTTATCAAAGGGAACACTCACCTTCTCGCGTTTCATACAATAAGAAATTAGCTATAACTTCATTCAGAACTGCCCCATAACATTATTAAGCACTCAGAATTCCAGCTGAAATTGTCATGTTTGAAAAAACAAAAATTGCTAGAGAAAAAACTCAGTTCAGTCATATGAATAATGCATCACAGTACATTCTATATCAGAAGTGTAAAAGAGATTTTCATTTTCATCAGGGCATTTTCATATGCCTTCAAAACATTTTTCAATTATATTTAAGGTAATTAAATCATGAATGGATTGCTCAAATGGTTTCCCAATAATTCTGTTTTAATGTACCATGATATTAACATGAAATAAGCTACCTAGAGAAGAAATACTATTTCAAGAATCTTGCAGTAGAATAACACTGTGCAATTCAAACAACTATATTTCGCAAATTCACCTGGCAGAGAGATGTATAATTTCTGTGTTTCTACTCTCTGATACAATAATCTTTCAAAGACAAATTGAAGTCTTGTATCTGGGCTAACTCATATTAAAACAAATACAAAAAGGTTTTCAACTAAATTTGAAGACATATCTAGCGTAAGTAAACATGTCTTCAATCTTTTCAAAGCACACAGCATGGCCACTTACACATCAAATAAGAGGAGATCCTTTATTTGTTCTAGATTAGAAGTCACATATGTATCCTTACTTAGCCCAGACATCAAACATGCTTCTGTTGTGCTTCATACTTCTGAATCTGAAAAAAAACAAAAGCCACCAACATCTTTTCCTGGGAAACTGATACACACTTACATCACAGCACCCAATACGAAACTGAAAAAATAAAAAAATGAGCTGTTGAATATATCTACAAAAAATAAACAAGAATTAACCAGCACATGCTACAATTTCAACTCCTCTTTTTTTGTCTTAGCCATACTTCAGCAACAATCAATTATATGAGTACAACGTACTCTCATAATAGCCTGCACTCTTTTTATCAGTGAGTAAATAATTTGCTGTCTTCCCCTGTTGCACCGAAGTAATCCAACAAAGGTTTCATGTTTTTTTATATATATTGTGACAATTTTCTATCAAACTATGAGAATTACTTGATAGCAAAACAGTAACAAAACAGTACCATGAAACAAGCTACATAATTTGTCCCTTACAGCAAGACACAGATCTAAGCTATTGTGACAGTAGAGAATCAACAACTTGGCAGTAAAATCTTATTACAAGAAATGTCCAAAGATCTAATTTCACATAGTGACTGCAAATTTGATCATTCATTTTATAATATATACTAAACAACTACTTTGCATCACTTCCCTACTTCACAGGTCTCAACTACATAACAAAACTATTCTGAATGGAACTGTTTAAAGCAAAACATTTTATTACCCTTGCTAGTCAGACAGGAAGTTAGCCTTTCTTTTCACTACTTAATTTGGTTCATATTATTATTTGATAAACAGATAAATGATCATCCTGTGTGCTGCATACTTCCTTCAAGGTATCTGTGCCACCTTTCTCAACACTGTCAATTGTAGCTCTAACAAAGTGCTAATTTAAGTGAAAGCTCCTGGCTTCACATCTCACAGCTTGTCAAGGAAATTGGCTCATTTATGCCCCTACACAAGGATTTGTTTTGTAAGAAAATGGGTACATGCTTGACTGTAAACATGGCCTCTCTCATCATTTTGAAAGGAAATTAACACTATAAATTCAATAAGATATGCAGAATAGGAGATAGAGATCAGGAGGTGACATAACACCACAAATATTCCTAAATACTATGGTCTCATCCTGAACTTGAATTCATAGTATCTTTGAGTAAACCCTAAAAAAACACTCGAGTGGTGAAGTCCCACTAATATAAGTGAGAATAAACAGTACTAGTTCAGGCTCTTTATAAAACACTTCCCATCTCCTCAATCACAATTGTTGCTGCTGTTCCTTAGACAATCATGGAATGTCTGAAGCCTGAAGAGACCTTAAAGATCATTTACTTCCAACTCCCTTCTGCAGGCAGGGTTGACGACCACTAGATCAGGCTGCCCAGAATCCCATCCAACCTGGCCTTGAACACCTCCAGGGTTGGGGTATCCATAGATTCTCTGGACAACCTGTTCCAATACTTCACCACTTTGAGTAAAAAATTTCTTCCTAATGCTTAATCTGATCCTTCCCTCTTCTAGTTTAAAGCCATTCCCCCTTTTCCTAGCACTATCAGACTGTATAAAAAGTTGATGTCCCTCATGTTTACAAGCTCCCTTCAAGTACTGGAAAGCCACAGCAAGGTCTCCTCAGAACCTTCTCTTTCCAACTCCCTTGCTCTTTCTTCATAGAAGAGGTGCTCCAGCCTCCTGATCATTTTTGTGGCCCTCCTCTGGAACCACTCCAACAGCTTCTCATCCCTCCTGTAGTGGGGCTGGGACACGGTACCTTCAGATGTGGCCTCAGAAGAGCAGAACAGAGGAGGACAATCACTGCCCTCTCTCTGCTGGCTACACCTCTCTTGGTGCAGCCCAGGATAGCATCAGCCTTGCAGGCTGCAAGAGCATACTTTTAGCTCACATACAGCTTTTCATCTACCAGAATCCCTAAGTCCTTCTCCGTAGGGTTTTTCTCACGTAGTTCTCCTGGTCATTACTTGTATCTGGGATTGCCTCAACCCAAGCGCAACACATTACACTTGGCCTTGTTAAACCTCATTAGATTTCTGTGTGCCCACTTCTCAAGCATGTCCAGGTCCCTCTGTATAGTGTCCCTCCCCTCTATTGTGTCAACAGCACCACAAAACTTGGTGCCATCAGCAAACTTGATGATAGTACACTCAATCCCACTGTCTGTCATTAAAGATATTGAAGAAGGACAGTCCTAAGAAAGGTCTGTGGGGGACACCCCTCATTACCAGCCTCCACTCAGACACAGATACATTGACCACAACTTTCTGGCTTCAACCATTTCCATATCCACCAAATAGTTCACCATTCAGATCTGTATTACGCCAATGTAGAGAAAATAGTGTTGTGATTAGTCATGTTCTTCTCAGTACATTAGGTTTACTGCTGCTTAATTAAGCAAATCTTACTCTAACAGTTCATAAGCATTCAAGTTATTGACACAGAGCAGACCTTTCTTGAAATACAAACCAGTCAGGCATAACATAGTCAGTCTTTGTTACCTTTAAAAAATATTGCCAGCTGAGTTATCAGAGACATCCATAACATCCTTCAAAATCATTCTAAAGTTGATGATACAGGAATGAAAAAAAGTAAATCCATAAATATGACACTAATAAAGAAATAATTGTTTAAATTCTTACAATAACAAAATATAGCAGTAATTTCAAATGTTTTGTCTATGGTTTACATCATGTAATTTGAATTTGAATGATGAATAAATTAGTAATTTATTATCATTGATAAATAGATTATAAACATTTAATAATATGTGTCAATAATGCATGCGTGATGATTGAATCTGATGTGTACGGCTATAACCATGTTTTTGATCTGCTTGAAACAATAACAGTTTGTAAGAGCACTAATTCAAAACAACATATTGAATTGTACCACTAGCTTTAAAATGAGAGTAATGTTACAGATCAAAAGACTGAAAAAGTATCCATTTCATCTCTCTCTTCTGGAGTTCATAAAACTCACTCCACCTCCTCATTCTTGAGCAAAGCTGTTTCTCCCAAACGGAAAACTACTACAAAAAAATGTAATGAAATGTAATCCTGCAGCATCTCTTCTCCCCTCAGTCACAAATAGGCTGAGTTCCACTGGGCTTTAAGCCACTTCTTTTTTTAGTGCATTATCCAAATCTTGCACCTCAAAAAACATTCCCCCATGAATTTTCTGTGCAGTCATCTGTTTAATTGGAATAGTCCACAAACCTTTTATGTATTTAAAATTTTCTCATTTTAGCAGAGGTAGCATCTCCCTTTTTTGCGTAGCAAAAAAGAGAGACAAACAGGTTACTTGCAAATGAGCTTCCATTCTTGCATTCCAGATAGCATGATTTCTCAGAATACCTGTTTTTATATAATATATAAATAAAATCAAAGCACACCTTAATGATGTCACTTGCAGTCATGTGTGCTTAACACTTAGAAATCATGAAAATACAGTTAGAAAATTTTTGAATGCTTTGTTCTCAGCAGCTGTTCAGGACATACAGGAAAGAGGTATCTGAAGATAATACAAAATACTCAGCTGCCTTAAATGATCTGTTTCCTTACAAACTCTTACACTGTTAGGGATAGGGTGCATAGGTTGTGTTACGTGTGTAATAACTGTTAGCTGACAGCAGAGGAAAAAAATTCAGATTTTTCAAACTGAAAAATCCTAGGACCTTCAGTAAGTTAATAACTAAAAATTTATTTTCCTTGGTATCACATAGCTTATGCTCTTTATTCCACATCTCATGCAACTTCTGAGCCCATGTTTTCCATTGCTTTTATTTTAAAAGCCTCCCTTCATTTGTAGGCTGTTTCCACCCTGGCTACTTCTATCCCCCTTACATGCATGTTTGCCTGAGAGACAAACAACAGATAATCTCACTCATCCTCTTCAAAGCTGAGAGAGAGCAAGCTCATCTGCTGTGTGGGATGAGCAGTGGGAACAGAGTTTCACCTCCCTCTTCCCCTGAAATCTTTGTCTGTCTACTGAATTCCATATTTCTCTTGAGGGCACCAAGATACTCAATGAAACAAGCATGCACAACTTGTGTTTATTACCCAAAAGAGCAGAATAATTTCAATTAAAACAGAAAAAAAGAAAAAATAGAAAGCTCCTCTCTGAAATTTTGACTATTCTGAATATTTCAGTCTGGAAATAAAACCATAGTCCTTTAGTGGAAGGAATGCATTACTTTATATATGCCTCTCATTTCAACACCTCAGAAAAAAAAAAAAAAAAAAAAAAAAAAAAGGTAAAGAAACAGGCAATGATGAGGCAGGCAACTGTCATCCTCTAGGAGGATCTAGATAACCCACTCATGCTGTGTGACCAGTTTTGAGGAAGACCTTTCCATGAAAATTAATGAATG